AGAACTGGAGAAGGAAGCCCAGAACAGAGTTGGTTGGAGAAAACTGGTGGGCGGCTTATGCTCCATTGGAGGTAACAGGCGTAAGTAAGTGTCCACAAACAGTGCTGTCAACAGATTACAAGATCATAAAGGATAGGATACACATGAATTCAGTATAGCCATTAAATACCATCGAAGTGACATGTTACTTCATCTCCATAGTGAGTTGGTTGTTTCAGTGAACCGTCCTAATCTCCTCTACAATCATTTATTCAGTATTGTAGCATTCTCTTGTTGTCTTATATTGTTGTTATGTGTACTAGTGAAATTATTCATATGTGCACACAAATGGAATGAATTTTTGCCTACAAGTTCATCCTCTCTCCATCTCTCTCTCCCTGTTTTTCTTTAGATTAATCAAAGATTCAAAGGAATGATATCTTCATATTATCACAGTTAAATTTTATACAATTCAAAATAAATTGATCATTCTTTTTTTTAGTGTATAGCAACAATCATTGTTCTTTTTGTATTGTCATTGAAAATAAATTCGATTCACTTCATTATTTTTTTTTCCTTCTAAATTTTGAATTAAAATAAATGAAATGATCAATTATAGTTAGTCGGTGGTAATTCTCTTTCTTATTTTCAAAAACAATTCAGTAGTGTAATGGTGAGTGAACATTGGTTGACGTCATCAATAAGTATTTAATGATTCATTCGCCATTTATAAAATAATGGACAATAAGGTATGCGTGTGTGTTGGTGTGTGTGTCCCTCTCTCCATCTATGCATATATATGCATATATATATATATATATATATATATATATATATATATATATATACGTAAAAATGTATACAGACATATATATGTGTATGTGTCTGTATTCTCCTCGTTCAAGTCGTGTATTATTTCTTTGCATGTTACACTTACTTGTACAAGTTTTTCCATGTCTGTTATATTGATCAACTAACTCGTCATATTCACGCTTGAATATAATTCATTTCATCATTATCATCATCACTTGAGAAATACAGTTAGGGCAAACAAAAAAAATAATTGAAATTCAGACAATAGATTGTCCATAGCTTGAAAAATGAACAGAAAAAAAATCAACGACGAACTTATTCCATTTTTTTTTATTTTCAAAGAAATTAATATCCATTGCTCGATTGTTTCATGAGTAGTTAGTTGTTCATTGCATTGTTACTATGGTTAATGTTGGTCTTTTTTTTCTTCTTATCTAATCAATCCCATTAATGATAATTTGCCTGCAATAAATAGTCTGTCTCTTTTTAGGTGTGTGCGTGTGTGTGTGTGCACACATATATGTTTGAGGATGATTAATTGTGGGATCGATTAATTTTACCGTTGTTATAACTTCAAGTGGCCTTGAGTATTGTGTCAATAAGTGAACACGTGTTATCAGCTTGTATGTATGCATGTCTATGTTGTGTTTAGCCATGTATGTGCGTGTGTATGTGAAATAATCGATTACTTAGCAGAGGAAATACAGTTCGTAAAAAACTTCTCTATCTTTCGTCTTTTGTATTAACAAGTGAATAATTGTCTGTATTGATTGATCGCAAAGTAATGCTCATAAACTTGGCCACTGGTTTTAATGACTCAACATTTTGTGGTATCATATTTAATGTTAGAGAATTAAAGATAGTGTGGAGGAAATCTTAGAAACAGATTTCGCTCCAGTTAACACTTGTAAACAAGGCAAGTTACCTACCAAAGTAGTGGGTTAGGTTGCGCAGGTTGATCAAAGTTATACATTAACACCCTTGGATGCCACTGGGCTCAATGGTCTGAAGGTAAAGCATTCGCGTGCGACACCGAAGACCCTAGGTTCGATTTCCATGTGTAGAGTCGTGGATGTTGACTGACGATTTCGTCCAACACGAGGACTAAACGGCCGTTCAAACCTCCCAGATTTCTTCAAATGATAGTCTAACGAAACTTGTAAATAAGTTCAATCTATAATCTTGATGAAATTAATAATCCCCATCAGTTTTAACAAACTCCGCCAGTAGAACCTTCGGGGCTACTGCCGGTCCCAAGCCCGGGTAAAGGAGGAGGGTTGGACATGGGGTTGGCGACCCCATTCCGTCAAAAACTAACTTGCCAAAAAAACGCTAACCAGAAAAAATAATTCAAACCATAAATCAGTTTTAACTTAGACTTATACAGTTTCACATGAATTCAGCATCTGCCTGAGTAACACTGAATGGGAAAATGCTTTGAACTAGTCAGTCAGTCATTTGCAACGTAGAACTTCGTACGTATGTACATAATTTCAGGTTGCCATACCACATTAGCACAGAGACGCAAATGTTAAATCAAATCCCATAGTGATAAAGATAGTAGAGGTATTAATGGTAATCAAGAAGACTACGGTTTGAAGATATTATTCAAGAAGTATAATTTAGTGAGATAAGGTTAGAAAGATAAAGGTAGAAGTGCTGACGAATCCAGAAGATTAGGATTTGAGAGTGAGCAATGAATGGATGCACTTGCACCATTGCAAACGATTTTGAGCCATGTCGTTCAAGGTCTGTAACCATAGGTGACTACTGTTTCGCGGACCCCAACCAGGTAGTCCACATCTACCAACATGACTCAATCCACTTGTCAGTGACTTCAGGCATTTGTGCCATGTTTTGATCTGGCCGCCCCTAGCTTTCTTTCAACCTACTCCTACACCACAAAACATCGTTCGTCGAGGCAGTCGGTGGTTAGGCATTCGTGACACATGTCCTAACTAGCTTGTGTTCAAACTAAGTGTGAAATTTCTTTCTGAGTGACTTCAACCATTAAAAAGTAATCAGTCATTCAAAATCAATTTCGAATATCACAGACGAGAAAATGTAACTGTTCATTTTTTTAAGTGTATAGAGTGTGATACACTGTGAATAACCTTGAAATAGTTAAAAATTAACCGATACATGGATTAGAAGTCCTTGTTGTGACATAACTGAAATACTTATATCCGATCTAATGTGATTTGTAAATTAATATGATTTTTTTCATTGGCTCATCCACGTGTCAGAATGCATGTCGAATCTGTCAGTTTCTCTCCATTTTCTCGGGAAAAAAACTGTTGGGTAGTGATAACACTACAACAGAGCTGTAGTTACTGGTGAAAAATCAACGTGTTTTACACGATTTACACTAGTTACAGTATTTCTCTTTATCAGTATAAAAAACATACTTGCTTTGACAGACTCCTTGACAGTCAGTTAGTAAAGAAAACACATTGTTCACGTTCACAAACAAAGAATCATTTATATTGCAAGTTGACCACAGATTTCCTAATCGAATCATTAACCACTAACAAATCTTACGTAACTATGTTTTGAAAAGTAGACTGGATCATTTAAGAGATTTGCATATATACAGGGCCAACAGACACCTTTCAAATAATCTGTCTTAATCAAATAAAATTCCCTTCTAATCAGTGTCGTTTGCAATGACGCAGGTGCATCCACTCTTTGTGTTCTCTCTAGTTCTAACCTTCTGAATTCTTCCATAATCTCTATCTTTCTCCTTCTAAATTTATCTTACTGAATTATACTTCTCGAATCATATCTTTGCTCCCTAATCTTCTCCATTACTGCTAATGCTTCTACTATCACTATCACTCTTGGATTTGAATTGACAGTTGGGTTTCTGTGCTAATGTGTGTTATGGCAACCTGAACTGATGTACTTACGTACGAAGTTCTGCGTTTCATCTGTCTGTCTGTCTATCTATCTAAACAGTATTAATTAAATTTTATTAGAAAAAATCTATGTAGTGAGTGTGTGTCACCCATCAGAAGTTTTGTTAGTGCAAAGTAGTTCAGCTGGGTAAACTATAAAAAACAATGAGTCCTTCTAGTTAAAATTCAACCTGCTTACAGATTGAAATGGTGGCATATATGTTTAACAGCGAGTATATTACTAACCATCTACTGAGTAGTGAGTAAGCTAGTAGTTCGCTCCCGACGTAGTTGAATTCCATATTTGCGAAATTAGTCGTTAGCGCAAGTGCGCATAACGATTATCTGTCAGCTGTACAGATTATCCATGATAGACGCAGTGGTCTAGATATCTTTTGCTGATCACATCATCACTTTTTCGACTTTATTTGAAGTCTTGACAATACCATTGAAATGATCAATCAATCAATCATTGTTAGACCACCATTAGAAACCTGGAAGCACTGGACGGCCGTTCGCACACAATATCGAAGGTCCCGGGTTCGAATCCTGTGAGGTGCAGGAGTCGTGGATGCGCACTGCCACTGATGAGTCCCACCATACCAGGACGAAACAACCGTCAGTGCTCTCAGGTTTCTAATGGTGATCTAACAATCATTGATTGATGATTTCAAATGTGTAAAAACACAAACCTCCAAAGCTCTGCCTGAAAATACCATTGAAAAAAATTCATTGTTTTGATCCCCTCGATATGAAACACTGCAGTACTACATCCCCAGTTGCCCGAATATAAGATAATCAGTGAACTAAAAGTTTTAGCTTAAAATCTAATTTCCAGTCAGAAATCATGCTCTTTACTACAGTACTCACTTATATTAGTTGAACAGAAACATGCTCGGAAACGCTTGATGCCTTACATATATTGAACACTGAAACAAAAATACACTGAACCACAAAGATATGGACACGTATCCTGTCTTGATATTTTTTCCTCCCTATTTTGATATGTCCTCCACTCCTGTAATTTTACAGCTTTCGGTTATTATTTTTGACAAAATATTGCTTCCCTGCTAATTTTCTGATTGGTCAACTAATCGCAATATTTTCTCGCTCTATCCATATATAACCAGTTTTCATATACGTGAATGGTTATTTGATCTTAATTTTTTCTTGAAAAAAAGTGATTGGTCAATCAATGGTCATGTGTCATAAATTTGCTTTAAAAATAGTAGTAAAATAGACACGTGACCAGTTCTCGTTAAAATTACAAGTAGCCTGTTTTAGTTTGAGATATACTCATCCAGAAAAAGGATGGCAATCGATAATATCGCACCGGGAACTGGACCAAATCGTCAATTATTCACAAATAACTTTTCGAATCATCATCATCAAAGGAAGTGTAAAAACACTCAAACGGAAGCCCATCAAGCATGTATGCAAAGTATTCAACGAATTCAAGATCAATACAATTTGGATTTGAATAGTTTTAATGCGCTGGTTGATGAGCGGTCTTTTTGGAAATGGGAATTAATCGATTTCACTGCTGAATACATCCCATCATTTTATCATCAACATTATTATTATCAATCTAATGAAACAGTGAATAACCTTGACATTGACCAATGGAATCATAATAATAATAATTATTCCCATTTAACAACTATCATCCCATCAACTCCATATAAACAAACAACTAAATTCCATAGATATTCAAGTACACTGATATTCAATCGTGAAGATGTATGTTATCATGACCAATCAATTTATAGAGATCCCATTCGAGTAAATAATCAAATTAAATCTACACTATCTACCAGTCGTTCATGTAATCTATTCACATTATGGCAACCGAAAATAAAACGTGAACGATGCATTGAATTTCGAAAAGATCCGTCGATAAATTCACGTAAACTATTGACAAATGAACTAAAACCTGATTCATCTTCATTATCAAATCAACATCGATCTAAAAGTTTGGATAGTAATTATTCAAAAAATCATTGCATACCACGTGATCAATTCAATCAGGTTGACAAGATCAATGCCAACCATGAATTTTCTTCTTGTATTGATCTTTATCAAACTGATCAAACTGACAGGCGAAAAAGAAATAAGGATGGGAATAATCACTCTGTATCGAAAGAAATTGATAGGGAATTAAAAATTGACCAAATCACTCGAAAATCTGAGCAAAAAATTAAAAATTATCATTTGTTATATGATAGGCTGGAAATAAAATCAAATACTTTGATTTCTACTACTTAAATAAATATGAGTAAGTCGTATGTTAACTAGTTTTTGAGTCATAAATCCTCCTCTCTATTAGCTCATTTCAATTTTGAATTTTATATTCATGAACATGTGAGCATCTGAAAATTTTACAGAGTTTGTATCTCTCTCTCTAATGATTATCGGGATATTTTAAAGAAATTATTAGACAAATTCATTTTCTTTTAAAATAAGACGTATTGTGGTGTGAGCTACCTATAAGTAGTATATGACGTGAGTGTCAACGTAATGTCTGGCAGCAGAAGATGGGGGAAGATCAAGAAAGGAAGAAGAGTTAGAAGAACACAATGGAATTTGTATGAAACGCATGAATAGTGACAATGGATTGATGTTTTGCAACAGGAACAGTCCAGTTCGATATAATGAACTGTTATTTTGCAAATGAACGATTTGCGATATGGTTTTCGGATTTTACTGAGTAACTCTGTAATTTTCGTTAATACAATTCGGTTGTCCTCACCGGTGTTTTCCTTCCCTACAGTATCATTGTTAGTATTGAATTGAATAGTGAAGCTTAGCCATGTTGCAATTGGGTGCAACTGTTCATCACGAATTGAGTTAAATGATATCGACTACTGAATGCCAACTCTGTGGTCTAAAGATTAAACATTCACTGCAAGGCCTAAAGCTCCAGAGTCCGACCCCTCCTATTGGATGAAAGATGGCCAAACACCCGTTCATTACTTCTTGGTTTCAATTTATTGAATCACTAAAATCACTGTGTATAAACATCCATAAACTTATTTTTTAATCCTGATATAATATTAAACTGAAAATTATTTGTCACGTAAAAGACGTTATTATTATAAGGTTACCTAAGTGACTATCAAAACTCCGCCTGGAGCCCCCTTGCTGAGTACTGCCGGTCGTAAGACTGCATAAAGCAGGAGGATAAGGCATTGGTTTAATGACCCGATACCATAGAAAACCAACTTGCTGAGAAAGCTCTGAGCAGAAAAAGAATTATTCAAACCATTTAAAATCTTTACTGGGAGTTGAAATGCTTCCATTTAGAGGAGCTATGACTCCTCATATTGAAAGCCGAGTTTCTTCGAAAGTCACGAACCAATGCTTCTTGTGAAAACCTCAGCAAAAACTAATATAGGTACACGGGATTTCTGTTTCGGAAATGAGAATATACAATATCGAAATGCTTCAGATGAATCAATCCCACTAGATGCAGGCGAGATCATTAAAGTATCCTTCACGGTCAAGAAAGAGAGGACTGATTATAATGAGCTATGCGCCTACAAACGGTAACAATGAGGACGTTAAAGATCAATTTTATGAGAGACTACAGTCAATGGTCGAAAAATGACCAGCAATGGATTATACCATTCTGATCGGAGACCTAAATCAAAGGTTTCAATGGACAACACCGGATATGACGACGTGGTGAGACGATATGGACTTAGGATAAATGAACGAAAATGGTGAGAGATTTGCAAATCTATGTGCCTCCAACAAACTGGTCATAGTTGGCATCATATTCCCACACAAACACATATACTGTGGATAAGATTCAAGAAAGGAAGAACTGGAAGTCAGTAATCAACATCAGCAGAATATGAATAGAGAAAGCCAAGACACAGGCTGAATTCACAGAAGTAAGCAGGTAAATGATGAGGAGCATTAAAGCTGATAAACGTATATATGTGGAAGATCGAGCCATGAGAGTGGAAATAGTTTCGAGAGAAGAAAACATGAGGCAATTGTACTACTCAATGAAGAAGTTAGCTGTAAAACATCGAAGCAATACACTCAGATCTCCCAATTGATGTTGACCTATCAGCATAGCCATGAGACAAATCAACAGTGGCAAAGCAGGAAGATTAAACAAAATACCAGCTGAGGCACTGACAGTAGACATTGCAGTAACTGCAAAGATATCCTACTCTCTGTTTCGCAGGCAACCTATTGTTATTTCGTCCATTTCGATAACTCATCAGCAGTGTTCGCTAACAGTCATGATACTTTTTATTCATTAAGTTGATACGAGATACTGATGACTTACTTCATGATGTTCCTGAAGTTCCACTGAGAAGTTGTGGCTAGCAGATTTTGGAAATATTGTGAGTGGGGCAGTTTTTCCTAGTGTCACTGGACGATTATCATACTATATCACCAAGCGACCGAAGTCGATATTATACCATTGAACACCGACTTGGTAGTTTCAATACCTAAGCATTCATCATGAGGCCTACTGGTCCTACGTTTAAACCCTACTAAAGTCTTAAGTTAGCACTGCTATGCTGTCCGCAACTAGGATGAAACGACTGATCAGTACTTCCAGATTTTCAACGGCACTTCACTTGAAATCAATCTATGAAGAGTGTTACATAATCTATTTTATTGGATTATACCACTTGAATAATATCTTAAGATCGTGATCTTTCCGATTACTGCGCATACCTGTACTACCTCTACCACTATGGGATTTCAATCGACCTCTATACTACCCTGATATGACACTTCGAACTTATGTACGTTAATACGAAGTCCCATGTTGTAACTAAATTGATAACATAAAAATTAAAACCAATCCCTATGAAATCTCTTCAAGTAGCTCTTATAATTATTGTCTCAAAAATACTGATTAGTTTACTTCTCTGGTAATTGATTTAGAATTTAAATTACACTATTGCATGATGTCTCAGTGGTCAACATGTTAAGTGTCCGTGTACAAGGTCGCATATCCTGGCTGCTGTTCATGGTGTTATGATTATTAGACCATCATTAGAAGAAATCTAGAAGCAATGGATAGCCAGTCGTTTCATCCATTCAGCATTTCCAGGTAATTCGACAATCTTCACAATTGTACATGTTCACGATTAGTGATTAACTTTATGAAGAAATTCTCAGAACTCTAATCAGAATTCGTGATTAGTAATGGAGTTCAAGTGTATGTAGTTACCTATCGAAGACAATGAATATACTTACTTACTTACTTACTTACGCCTGTTACCCCCAATGGAGCACAGGCCGACAATCATTTTTCTCCACCCAGCTCTGTCCTGGGCTTCCCTTTCCAATTCTGTCCAATTTTTGTTCATTCTTCTCATATCTTTCTCTATTTCTCGACGTAATGTATTCCTTGGCCTTCGTCTTTTCCTTCGACTCAGAGGGTTACAAGTGAGGGTTTGTCTTGTGACGCAGTTCGGTGCTTTTCGTAGTGTGTCTCCTATCCACTTCCACCGCTTCTTCCTGATTTCCTTCTCAGCTGGAATCGAGTTTGCTCTCTCCCACATTAGGTTGTTGCTGATAGTGTCTGACCAACGAACCCGAAGTATTTTCCGTTAACAACTGTTAAAAAGTACTTGTATCTTCTGGATGATGGCTCTCGTAGTTCTCCAAGTTTCCGTTCCATACAGTAGAACTGTCTTGACATTTGTATTGAAAATCCTGATTTTGATTTTGGTTGAAAGTAGTTTGGAGTTCCAGATATTTTTCAACTGCAGAAATGCAGCCCTTGCTTCACCAATCCGCGCCCTCACATCTGCATTGGATTCACCCTAGTTGTCGATGATGCTGCCCAGATATGTAAAGGTGTTAACGTCTTCCAAGGCATCCCCATCAAGAGTGATTTGATTGGTGCATGTTGTGTTGTATCGGAGAATTTTGCTTTTTCCTTTATGTATGTTGAGACCTACTGCTGCAGAGGATGCTGCTACACTGGTCGTCTTCTCTTGCATTTGTTGTTGCGTGTGAGATGGAAGAGCCAGATCATCTGCGAAGTCCAGATCGTCCAGCTGTGTCCTAACAGTCCAGTTGATACCGTGCTTCCCTCCAGATGTCGACGTCTTCATAATCCAATCGAGTACTAGGAGAAAGAGAAAGGGTGAGAGTAATCAACCTTGCCGGACATCGGTCTTTACCTCGAACTAGTCTGTGAGCTGTCCTCCGTGCGCGATTTTGCAGTTGAATCCATCATAAGAGTTCCGTATGATGTTAACTATCTTCTCAGGCACACCGTAGTGTCGACGAAGGCTCCACTGTGTTTTCCTATCCACGCTATCAAATGCTTTCTCGTAGTTAATGAAGTTGATGTATAGTGGTGAGTTCCATTCTATTAGACAATGAATGTAGTTGCGCAATGACTTCTTGCCCAAATCAAAGTTACACTTAGTAATTGTTATGATTATTATTATTATTATCATTTTCATTATTTAACTTTTGTTTATTGGTTTTTTTTCTTTTTTCTTCAGGTAACTAACTAACTAACTAACTACAAGATTGATTTATTAAATGTACAACAATATTCAGCATTGAATTTCGAACAGATTATTATTACTATTATTAGTTATTTTACTATCGCTACTCGCACAACTCACAACACTATTAAAAATCACATGATGTACATTGATTTTATACCGTTGTTTGTATGCAACACAATCACTTTTTTTTCTGCCTAACTATTTAAATTGTATTATAATTGTCCTTCCCTCTTGGCCAACTTATCCTTTGTTTGTCTTGTAAATAGATCAATATGTACATTCCCTAATTACGATGATGATGATTATGATTAATTCTTTAAATCAATTTATTGTATTAATTACTTTCCAATGAATTTGGGTGAAAAAAATAATTTTGGGGCAGAGTTGGATGCCGGCTCAGTGGTCTGATGGTTAGGCGTTCGCCTACAATGCCGAAGGTCCCGGGTTCGATTCCTGCGAGGAGCTGGAGTCGTCGATGCGCACTGCCACTGATGAGTCCCACCATACCAGGACGAAACGGCCGTCCTGCAGTGCTTCCAGGTTTCTAATGGTGGTCAACTAACAATGATTGATTGATTGATTGATGATTTCAAATGTGTAAAAACTAATTTGTTTGTTTTTTCTGTTATTTTAGAAATAATATCTGTACAGACATTTTTTCTTGGCGCATTCTTTATTGATTTTTAAATTTGAAAAATAATGTTTATTTTTGTAATATAATAAAATTTAATTATTATTATTATTTTCAACGGATTAGCAATT